TGGATTCCTTAACAATGTTCCAGATTTGAGCTTTTCCCCTTCACACCTCTTCGTCCGATTTCGTTGTAAAGTCCTATCCTTTTGACCTCTTTGAAGACATTATCCCCTGATTTTTATCGAGAGTTTTCTTAGGTGACTTCGGTCATTTGAGATGTAATTAACTATAGGGGCTTGCCCTTATAGGGAGCTTTTCCGAACCCCGCTTAAAATAAACCCTATTTAATTATTTGTATTAAATAGGGGAACTTGTCGGCAAATAAAATGGTTTCGCAGACCCAAACGGACGTCATATCTTTCTTAGTTTATTTGATCGAGCTTCATCCTCAGGTCTTGTGTTTATTCTTCGGGGTAGATACAGGATTTGAGGTAGAGCGCTCTTTCATTTAAACTGTGAAAAATATGAGGTCAGTTTGATTTCGTATTTTTCTAAAATTATATATATATATGTAAATTAAAAAGTCCTTCCGAAGCGGGCGACGGGATTTCGATTCCGGCGGCCGACAGCTTCTTACGGGCGACCCCCAAACGTAACTCCCCCCTTTTTAAACGCCGACAACTTTATCTTTAGACTTCTGCGCAACCGTGTTCTGCAATATAAGTCCTAACTCACCTTAGGTTCTGAGGTTGTTGTTCGGTATGACGTAAATCATCTTATCCCCGCAGGCTATTTGCATAATAGGGTATTATGCTAGTGTATGTCCCGAATAATAAAATTGGTATGATTGAACAATTAAAGAGTATCATCTCCAAAACACAGCCACAATTGTTTGAGAAGTCACTGAGGTTTCTCCTCAGGATCTGAGATGTCTCGTACCTTCTATCTCTCTTTAGACTCCTAAAATAATTGCTCTCATTTGGTCATTTCCCACTTGATTTTCCGCGTCCTATTATAAAAACCTAAACCTTGAATTCTTGAATACTAGTAATTTTGATTATTATCGAGAGTTTTCTCAAGTAACATCAGTTATTTGAAATGTGATTAACTATGAGGGTTTGTCTCTATAGGGAACTTGAAACATGGGGAACTTGGAACTCAGGGAAAATAAACCCTACATAATCTTCATATTAGGTAGGGGAATTTGTCAATCACATATAAAAAGTTCACAGATCAAACAAATATCACAAATATCTTAACTCGTATGATTGAGTCCATCGTCGAGGTATACACTTATCTTTCGGGAAGATGTAGAATTCACAGTATCAGACACAATTATGTAAACTTTAAGACGAATGAGATCCATTTGGTTTTATTTTTTTTCAAAATTAAAACACAATTTCCAAAAAAAATTAAAAAAGATCATATACCTTTCTATATTAAATTAAATTTAAAAATTATTATTTTCAAAATAGCGACAGACAACCGCCCGCAATACTGTAGTAGGTACAATAACCGTAGCCCCCCATTTCCTATTTAATTCATTTGTTTTCCTTTCCTGATGCTTTCCAATTATAATTCCATCTCTTCTCTACTTCTTTTCTATTCCTCTCCTTGTCTATTATATCGAATTTCAATCCTACTCTTTGCCTATTTTATTTACTAGTCCCCTCTTTATATAGGTGTTGTATTCATAGGTTTGAGGAGGAGATTTATGGATGATTTGTTGATTTCAGCTACTACCTTTGAGGCATTTTTCCTCTCTAAGGGTTGTATCTGACGGCAAGAATGTGCTACGACTATAACTCGCCTGAGGTGGTGACCATCTCTAAGGGTTTGGGTGATGCTCCGGTTGTAGCTCGACCCAGACAAGAGATTTATCTTTCCGCAGCCACCTCTCCCATGCAGTCCAACAGTCGTCAGCTTGCTGCCCTCCCTTTAGCTTACCTTCAGCAAGCCGCCAACCCTTTTATGTCTGCTAGTGCTGCTACCAGGCCAGGATAGCAAATAGGTTGTTGTCAAATCACCTTCCATACCTACTATAGATCTCGCTACCTTTTCATTGTTGCAAATCACGACCCCAACATCCACTCCAACTGTACCGCCAACACTCCATCCTCTTCTACTACACTAATTATACCCCTCCCTTATTTTCCACCACTCAACCATGCCCATCTCCCTAGCCCTAATTGGGTCTATGTGTTGTGTCTTTATTGCTATTTTCTTTTGTCGTATGTGTCGTTGTAACCCTATCGAAATTCAACAAAAATATTATTCACATTTTATTTATGATTTGGGCTTTTCTCTGGTATCACTACCACTTTGTCCTTTCACCTAAAACAAGGCAAGGACGCCAATGTTAAGAATTAACCAAGTGACACAAAAGAAAGTGTCAAATCCATACAATTAAATTGTGCATGCTTAGCTTCTAAAGCTATTAAGAACAAATACATCTTCTAAGCAAGGTTTTCATAGCTAAAAAGGGTCAATTAATTGCACATGGGTCGAGTACTAAAACCAAGAAGCCACTAATGTCCATGCATCGAAACTTCTAGGCCAATTAATCCATTTAATATGGCTAAAAATCTTTTATTGACTGAATTCTACCACAAAATAGGTTTCCATGCCATATCATTCTCATTTGATCTATTGATTCCACCTAGAAAAAAGGAACTAAGTGTTCTTAACCATGTGCTCATCACTACCCAACCCTACCCAAAACCATTTTAAATCATATTCTCCACTTAAAGCATAAAATCGAACGATAATTGGCCCAATCCTTCTGATTATTTGGATCAAGATTCACCTATAGACCATGAAAGATGGATCTATGGGATTTTGATAAGTTTTACCACCATATCTCAATTTTTTTAGCATTAAGGTATTTTAACATAAAAAAGAAATCTTTAAAGGCAAAACCTAGGGTTGGGTTAGGACTATTGTCCAAGGGGAGGGGACTCACCCTCCTAGTCATCTATTATTCCAAATACATTCTTTTCTTTGTTTAGGATTAGTTTTCGTTGAGTTTTATGTCGAGACAGCCGTCAACATCTCAATCTCCTTTCTAAGGTTGTATCCGAGGACAGACGGTGCTCCGAGGTGATAATTACCTTCCTATTTCATTTCCTCTCCCCTATCACAGCTCCTCCCCCAACAACCCCTTCCTGCTATTCGCCCCTTTATCCAACCGTAACTCAACTATCAACCCATTTGTACAACCGTAATCCACTTCAAGCCCCCTTGTCCAGCCGCAACTTCACTACCCGTTCTATGCCCCGTCATAATCCCAACTAGCCGCTTCTTCCAAACTGTAAACCCACTCCTAACCGCCTATAGTTTCCGCAAAGCCTTCTCGTGGCTACTTGTTGTTGCGGCAACCCAGATCTACTTGCTTCTTGTTGCCGCCAACCCATCCCTACCCTTCAGCTGCTACCACAACCTGATTTCCAACCTCCAACTGTGGCTGCAACCTCCAACCGTCAACCTACTTTACGTCCAGTCGACATCGCCACCTTCATTCTCAACCTAGAGTGTCGTGTTTGTTTTCATTTATTTTCTGTTTTCAAAAGTCTTAGTTGTAACTCCTCTGAATTTCAACAATAAGATTTGCATTTCTTTGTGGTTTGACTTAACTCTGATATCACTAAAATAGAACCTCATTAATTCCTTGATTGTCAATTATCTTTGAGAATTGTTAGTGATTATTAATTATGGGATTTACCTTTATGGGTAACTTTGAATCAAAAAAATAAAATTATTACTAAAATTAAAAATTATTAGGAAGTATGCAATCCTCAAATTTTACAAATAAAAAAATAATGATCCTCACAAGATCTTAGGAGCTTCCATGAGCCCAATTAGTTCAAAAGTATTATCTTCATTATCCAAAATGGAAGGCTAATGTTTGAATGCTTTAAAACAAAAAATTAAAACGCAAGGGCTTCAATAAGATAGTGTCAAAGTACATCAAACTAAAGTTTTAAGAAATAGTTAATAATGCAAAACCTTCTTCATATCAAGAGAGAAGCCAATAACCTTAAAAAATGGCTAGATATCATTCATCATTTATGCCGACATTAGTAAAATACCAACAATTCCCATAATTCAGGTCAAACATGGAGAAGAGCATGAAAATTTTTTATCCAATTAAAATAACTGTAGTATAGTCGCATTGTGTAAAACAAATCAAACTAATTAAAAAGAAAAAAGCCAATGGAAATGAAATACATCGGGTGGAGGAAACCCATGTTAACCACAATTGCTACACACCTGTGTTTCTCCACGAGTGAAAAGTGCACTTCCATGTGCTCGTGGTAGTAGTCCACATTGTGTGGAAATTGAGCGAATCTCTGAAGGAATTCGACTATCGCTTCTTTTCCCACCCTAAAAAAATAACAGAAGTCAAACAGATCATAGAAGTCGGTTCAATTACTTCTGCATATGCCATTCAGAATAAGAATTGCTAAGTAATACATCTTTATATGACATAAATTAAAAAAGCTTTCTTTTTCCCTCTTTCGGCATCAAGAAGTAGGTTGATCTCTATGATCATTCATCGTTGGCCAGTTAAAGTCAAGGATTCCAACAATCATTCTGATCCAACCAAAGCATATCTCAAATAGTTGAGGGCACAAACTAGGTGAACCATAATTCATATGATTTTGTTCCCTGATAATTACATTGGTCATGTAATTCCTCAACAACATGATCTAGGAATGCTAGCCAATAGAAACTTCTCCGCAAAAGGCCTAGGTTGTTCACCATGAGAAGCATAGAACTTCGAGAGGTTCCCTGTCCAACATTTCTATCATGAAGGGCTGAAATGGTAGATCATAAGAACTTTCAGTTTTGCGTTCACTATAAATTATTAGATGATCTATCATTTCACCTTTTTGCTTTAATTATGCCAACAGTGGGACTGATTTTACAAGTCCATTTCTAGGCTAAGCAAGCCATTTTGACATGCTAATAAAAAAGCGACTGCAACATTCGATAAGAAATGCAAATAGCAGGATTAACTTATAATAGCGATCAAATTACAAGATGGTGTCCAAATCAAATGCATTGAAGATTCCAAATGGTAGGGGAAGACCTAGACCAAATCAATTGCATTAATTTTCTTAATCTTTCTGTTATTTGAGTGAATTCATAATCATTCTGCACTACACAAGATAATATACAAGGGGGTGTCATAGGATGGAAGAGGCCAAAAATTTCGACATGGTAAAGCATAGTAACATCATCAGGTTTATAAGCTAGCATTATGTGTAAAGTTTCCCAAAAGCTTCAAGCCTATGCATGGCACTATATTTCCCAAACAATAAAGATTTATCCTTAAGTTTAGAGTACATGGAGATTAACAACAAAATCATGGAAAGCAGAATAAGCTGTTTCCTTTTAAAGTATAAAGTAGAAGAGGATAAGAGCTTGTTGAATAAAAAAAATGTTAATCTATTCTTATTTCCTCTTCTTTATGGAAAAATTTAAGGTCTTAGAAATCGGATGAGAAAGGTTGGTCCAATTGTTTCAACCATAAACAGGTCCTTCACCAAGTACAATTTTATTCGAAGACCGTCTTCACATCTAACCAGGTAATGATTGAACGAGTTAAATGATGAATAGGCCCCATTTTTTATGAACCTCCCAATTTTAATATTTATCAATTTATGGCTTCTTTATTTTGATCAAATTGTTATCAATAAAAGGTTTAAATAAAAAAGTATATAATCTATGAATCCTAATTTAAGTTAAATATTCTGTAAACATTGGAAAAGATATTGGTGAAAGTTTTTCTGATTTTGGTAGTCATTGTTGTTTCAATCCAATAGTACTGTTCCAGATATTTCTACAAGCATTTGTATAAAAACAAAAAAAAAATCAAAATGTCATGTTCTTTAAATTTTGACTTAGAATCATATTCAAAATAATTAATCATGAAATGTTAAGATATAGAATATTGTACTTTGGATTGATAAAAATATTATTATTGTATCATTATTAATTCATTTATATGATATTATAATTTTAATATTCATTATGCTATCCAAATCAATCATATATGAACCTTAAACCTCTCCTTTCAGTTTAATGTCAAGTCCTTTCAAAATCTTCAATACTATTGATATTCACTACAACGAAAAAAATTTGTGCTTTTGCTTGCATGTGCGTTGGATGGATATGGTTCCAAGAATATATAAGGTGAGAACCAATTAGAAGTGATGGGGTGGCGCTTTAGTTTTGAATAGGAAAATTGGTTGAGCAAATGTTTAAATTTAGGAGCAAGTACGAATTTTGATTGGGGTTAGTGTGGATTTCTTTGTGGGGCAGCTTACTTTGTTTTGGATTAAGTATTAATTGAAATTTGAATGAAATGTGATTTGAAAATTTCTAAGGATGTGGAAGCGAAGGTTATTATAAAGACATGAGAAAGAACACGTGAAAAGATGTCTGTGAGGATAAAGTTCTGGATGGTAAGGACTTATGCATATGGAAGCACAGTGGAGTAAATCGACAAGAGAGAGATGTATGTGGAAGATAAAAATTCATCCAAAATTCATTCAATGTAAAGTTAAGGATTATGGATGGATCAAAAAGAGAGATAAATGATAAGAGAGGTCGTGGTGGTGGGTTTAACGAAAGAAGAGAGAACATGAAAAATTTGATAGCAAATAAAAATGTTAACTCAAACATTAATGAAAGAATAATATTAAGGAGATCATACCATCAAATTTCCCGGAATTAAGGAAACATTCACCAAAACACTATGATGTAGCGGAGAAGAAAGGTACGAAAATTCTCCATAAAGCTAATGTGGAAAGATTGTAGAAAGATAAAACCAATGCACAAAAAATTAAGCTACACTAGTACAGAAAACTAACGATTTGTGTACATAACCTATAGGAATAGCCATCAAGCACATAGCAAGAAAAATCATTGGCAAGTTTGAAAGAAAACTTCATCAGACAAAACCTGAAACTGCTCACAGCAGCATCATAATTATAGAAAAAGGAATCTGAAAAAAGGAAACCCTTAATAAACTAAATAACAGCATTAAATGCCCTATGAACCAGAAAAAAACATAAGAAAATAAGCTAATTACATTAAACGAGAATCAGAAAAGAGCATAAACCAGTAATAAAGAAATGTCAGGCACCATTTTAGTGTTGCATTAATTTTATATTATCAATAAGAAAACCAGAAATCTTCACCCTATCTTCATTTTCTTCATATGAAAAGCCAAAAGAAAACTGACACGGGACTTTGGAACGGACCAGACGGCCCTCAAAGGGAGAGGGCTGTCAATCCCCCTTTCCTCTTCATCATTTCCTTCCTTTCATTTCCTTTCCTCCTATTCCTTCTTTCTTTTTCTCTTCTTTCCTTCCCAGCACTTACCAATTCTGAATTTCTATTATGTTTATTAATCTTTGCATATTTTGAATTCTTCCCATTATAAACATTGCTTAAATTATGAATTCTAATTATTTTTATTCTCTTCCTTATTATAAACGTTGCTTATTATAAATCCTTCCTGATTTGAAGAAAGTCCTAAGATTACATGGACGCATTTCAGGATTTAATGAGAAGTTTGACTCATAGGTGTGTAAACTAAAAAAGTGTATACGAGTTGAAACAGTCGCTAAGAATACGGTTTGAAAAATATATATTGATTTGTTAAAGGTTAGGGGCATACCCAAGACAAGAAGGACATATAATGTTCTTCAGACATTCAAATGATGGGAAGATAATTATACGGATTGTGTATGTAAATGATATAGTTGACCGAAGATGACGTACATGAAATGAAATGGTTGAAGACTTCTCTCTCATCAGTTTTTGAGATGAAGGACTTAGAATCTCTGAGGTATTTCCTTAGCTTGAAGGTTTATAGATTAAAGAAAGGGATTGTTGTTTCTTAATGTAAGTATGTTTTTGATCTTCTAAAAAAAAATTGAAAGGAGTGCTTGTAGGCCTGCAGACACTGCAATTGATCTCAATCAAAAACTGAAAGATAAAAAGGAAGGTGACCCAATGAATACGGTTCAATATTAAAAGTTGGTGGGAAATTTAATATACTCACAAACATGACCAGACATCACCTTTGTTGAAAGTATGATTAGTCAACTTATTTTGTCCTCAGAGAAACACCTTGAAGCAGTTAACAAAATTCTCAGATACCTAAAAAGTACACCAAGTAAGGGATTACTTTTCAAAGACCATACAACAGAACATAGAAACATACATTGATGTGGATTAAGCGGGCTTAGTTGTTGACAAAAGGTCGACACAAGAATACCGTATTTTTGTCTAGGGAAATCTGGTTATATGTGGCAAAGTAAGAAATAGAATGCGACTAAAAAGAGTAGTGCAAAGGTAGAATATCGAGCTATGGCTAATAGAGTATATGAGATGTTATGACTAAAGAGAATTCTTGAAGTGCTACAGGTACCAATAAGCATGCCAATGAAGTAGTGTTGTGGCAACAAAGTTGTCATAAGCATTGCAGAAAATCCAATGCAACATGATCTCACAAAACATGTGTAGATTGATAAACACTTCATAAAAGAGAAGATTGATTGTGGAGCTATTTACATATCATTTATCCCTACTGCTCAACAAATAATGAATATCTTCTCCAAAAGACTGTTGAAGCCTAATTTTGAGTTCCTTGTAAGCAAGTTGGGCAAAATATATATCTATGCTAATTGAGGAGGTGTTGGATTTTCAGGAAGATTTTGTTTTTTGTATCTTCTATCATTTGTATTTTATATTTTTAGGAATTAGAATTAACGACATGTCATAATTCAGTTTCCTTCATTTATTATGGGGAATTGTGACTGATTTTATTGCTTTCCTAATGTGGGAGTCACACCCCTCTATTTATCTTATACTTATTTTCTATGAAATTAAAGAGGTATTATAAATTTTTTCCCCTGCCAAAATCTACACTATCAAATCAAAGTTTGATCATATTGGCATCATCATCCAGTGCAACATGGATGTGAATCTGGTAAAAAAGGATCCGGTAAATTTTGTAGTCAAACCTTATTATCACTAACCTTTCTAGGGTTGACAAAAAACTTTTCTGTGTACTTTCTCTTAATGAATGAATTAAGGATTCAAGATCTCCATGAAAGAAGGATTCCTTGCTCATGAGTGACAACCATAGAGAACGTTTTCAAGTTTGTGCTGATCTTCCATCACTGTTAAAAGTTCTACCATCGTAAAATCTCAATTTTACTAAGGCATAGTGCGAATTTCAAATCAACCACAACCTCGGAACTGGATCTTATAACACCAAATGACCAAGCCTACTGAACGATGTGCACAAACTTACGGCACCATGAAAGAAAACATGCACAACTCTATTGGCTGGTAGCGTGGAAACTTTATTCCTACACTTAATTCAGATCATGCCATTAGGTTTGTCATACACTTTTCGATCATGAATAATCAAGAAACTCATGCAGAAACATGCAATTTTCATCAAGAATGTCAGTTTCACGGCAATGAATCTCTTTTATGTTGCATTTTTTTTCATTAGGCAAGGCATTTTAGATGGCTTCAAGGATGGCTTACAAGAGCACCTAAAACCCCAAAAACTCTCAAACATAATAGGCTACACAGGCTACTATAATATGGATTGTGCACTGGTGAGAAACAATCACTCCATCCTAATTTCTTTTAACTCAATATTAGTTGTTTCACATGATACTAAAAATTAAAGAAATAAGTTAACAGTAACAAAAATGTAACACTAAGAAAAATAATTAAAGAACAGTTCAACTGAAACATAATGAATGGTGCAAAATTTATAATTTCAAGGAATAAAGACAGGAAGCACACAGATGACATAGAAATCATGTCATCCAAAATATATTTATAAAAAGGGATCAGATTAAAAATGAAATGTGAAGATCATTCCAATTCAGAAGCCTCCACTTAATCTGGTAAAATCATTTTGCAAACCAAACCTCAACAATTCGTTTGCGGAGAAATTTTGAAGTAACTTCCTTGAAAACTAGCTTCACATCAACTTCTGAAAACAACTGCAAAAGAAAATTTTATAGCCATTGAAAGATTTCTAAAAAAACTTACTTTCATTCAGTAGAATCAACGGAGAATAAAAAATACTGTAACAGAAGGTAGGAATATCATAGGTGTCTAAAAACTAAATTACAACAATACCAGCATACGCAGTGCATAGCAAAATTTCAAGCATATTGGATGATATAGATTGAATGTTGATTTCATTTTGTAAACAAGAATGGCACCTACAAGCATCCAAGATAAACATAGAGAAAGAGCAGTGCCCTTTCTGGGAACTTATTTTTGTGTGGTGCATGTGCACATTGTGGTGCTTTAGTTAAGTAAAATTTTAACAGGGGAAACCAGCCACCAACCCGACTTCTGTTGTTTCAACATTTTCATACGCTGCGCCTCCTTAGCGGTCCCAAACTTCCAAATCCTCAACACCAAAATCATCAGCAAATGATTTTAGTTTAGTAAAATGCAGTGCGTCAACTATTAATAAAAGATATTAAAATATATTAAAATAAAAAGGGGAATCAGGTATTGCCTACAGCATATTGACATAATTATTGATTTTAGGCTAGACTTAGTTCCGTTTTGTTCGAGTTTGAAGATATATTTCATTGCACACATTTGCGCATGGCTCTTCTCTGAGAGTTTGTGGTTCCAAATTAAAATTTCAGAAAGTAGACTAGATTTCATATAAGACACTGCTCAGAGAATAGTGCTCATTTTGTAAGTAATTTTAAGATTTGATTCCAAGTTCAACATAGCCGCAAGCCCAAATTGTTAATTATCCATCTTGAAAGAGAATAGTTTTAATATAGAGTAGCTATTGGTGCAAAATGTTTGACATATAGTAGCAATATTTTTAATTTTAGATTTTGAAAATTTACCAACTTTAAATTAAAACAGATAATGGGATAGAATATATTGAATGCGATCAAGATTGCATGATTCCGTCATCTCGGATTATTGTAAACCCTAGTCTATTTAGTTTGAGAAGATGGTGAGCCGACCTAACCAAAGAGTAACTGTCAACATCTATTGGTTGTATCATCTAAGAAGATCAAATAGACTTAAGATAGATGTTTATCAAAGGGGATACTTTTAAGTTAAACTAGGGAAAATTTTGTGCCTAATCAAATCACTTTAATTCAACACTCATAAGATTTAAACCATTAAACAACTTGAAGGCTATGGCCATTACCATAATTTAAAGTGTCATTTTACAGTGAAACACCAATGGAAACTAGTCATAATGTGCCGAAATTTTAATAATAAGAATAATAAAAAAATATTCATAAAAAAATGCTAATATTTGAACAACAGCATCTTACAAAGTAGAAGCACTGTGCGAGCTAATTAGTGGGAGGCGTGTGCAGAAGGCAGCCGAACCAAAGTAAGGTTAAGATTTTGTTTTAATTGAAGTTAAAAGGAGTTTTGTATTATGATTGAAGTTAAGAAATTTTATTTTAATTAGAATATGTGTTAATAATAAGATTTTGATTTAGATCAGGTGAGCATGGCGTTATGCAGTGTCATATACACTGTGCGAGAAGGGTTGAACTAAAATCAATTAAGGTGCATTTAGGTTAATTTTATATTGATTTATTTTTATTTCGTAAATCTAATATTTTGAAAGTTCAATTGAAGTTACTTGAGATTAGTATTAATTCGGGTTTTTCTAATCAATGTCAGAAATTAAAGGTTTTCAATTGAGGAGATCAATAAATTGAGAGAGGTGTTCAAGGAAAGAAGAACTAAAAGAATTTAATTGAGGCATGTTGTTACTTCAAAAAGTTTATACAGAATAAATTATTAGAAATTTTATTAGAAATTTAAATGAAACTATTAATGTAAGATTTAACCCGCCTTTAATTTTAGACATAAAAGTATGATATGACAAACTAAATATGAAGAAAATTGGATGATCAATATAATATTATGATTAATATTTATAAACATAAATGGAGAGGAACTCAAAGTTCAACACGAAGAGAATCAATAGAAAAGTTAAGTAATTATATTTCTAAATTTCAGTAAATTTTATTATTTTTATATGTATGTATGATTTCATCTATGTTCATTTCAGTGAGAAGTAGATTATTACAAATTCTTCATATTGTTAGATAGGAAAATATGCATATTAAATAGTTGTGCAATGAAGTCAAATCGCATATGATTTTTCATGTCGTTAAACATGAAGTATGCATGTTACATTCTATTATCCTAATAGTTGCATAATAGTTTAATTTATGAAGGTACCAGATTATTGTATAAACCTTATGTTTTAGTAGAGATGTATTTGTCAGTTTATTGCATGACCAGACATATATGTCATATGATTATTTGATCTTTAGGATTTTAGTAATTATGCATATATCAGTTTATTTCATGACATAATTTTTGTGCGACTGCAATTATTCATTAGTTAGATAAGTTTAAATTACATGATATGAGAATAAAATTTATTATGAATAATGAAATAGCTTATATATGGATGTTTGTGTGCATGCTGAGAAGATAAATTCACCCTCTTATGGTACAGACAGGAGACGTCAGTGTACCCGCGACGCAGACGTTATTCTACCAGTCCAGACAATTGTGATATTTAGATCATTAACCGTTGTGTCGATGATAGAATATCAACCAGGGTTCAGTATACAGTTCTTCGCCTCAAACAATTGTGTAAATTAGATAACAAACCACTGTGTCGATGGAATAATAATGGTCAAGAGTGTGATAGGTTATGTTTCGACAATGCTTCTAAAATAGATGTGAATGTTAAGAATATAAAGTAAAAGTAAAGTTAATGCATATAGAAATTTAAGTTATTTTTCATTAAGTAAATTTCATGGATACATACGTTAAATTATTATAATATTTTTATAAATACATTAAAGACCAACATACATATTATTTTCTTCTCATTGGGTGACTGTAGTTTAGAAGTCTGATTGCTCTTGGGTTATTTTTATAATTCATTAAATTGTTTTAATGAATTTTTCATGTTTTAAACTTTTGAATAAGATGATTAGAAAAGGAGTTAATGTGTACAAAGGCGAGAACAACAACCAGAAATGTAAAACTTTTATTTGTTAATTAAATTATTTTCTTTAGTGACTCTTTCATGAGCATTTGAATATTAATTTTTTAGTGATAGAAATAGAATAATACAAAACTAAATTTCACAGTCCGACCATTTGTTTCCGTATTTGATAATTTCAAGTCTCAGACCGGGTCGTGATATAGTAATTGTCTTTCGTGGTGTCATATGGTGCACCACATTATCAAAAAATATATCTTTACTAGCATGATATCATTGAATGTGGCCATAGAGGTATACATAACATGATATTAGCACATAACAATGATGCATGGACATGAATTTTATCATTAGTAATATGATGTCGCAACATTTAATATGTTAGTTGGAGCAGATATAGATATTTGCTTTATCTGAGCCCATGTGCAACAATTTTTTTTTCTTCTATGCACTTGCAAAGTTTTTTAATATTTTACTTGAAGTAAGGATTCATGCAGCCAACCCCACATGGTGGAATAAACTTTTAGTTGTTGTTGTTGTTGTTTTTGCCAATTAAAATAATGTTTAGATGTTTTGAGTATTTTTAAAAACAATTGAATCTTAAACAAATATGGAAAATATGTTTTGTTTCAAATCACAACACAAACCATAGAAAAGATGCAATAGAGAAAACCTCATTCATTTTAACTTGTAAAGGTAAAGTTAAGCTTTGGAAGATTCATCTTATTTACAGGCTAGTGTCACGACCCACCACATTATGAAATTTGCAAGGCAAACTTGGGAAGGAAGATTCTAGAGAAGACCAGGTTGTGGAGAGCCATCCAAGATATTCTAGAAGATTCTACCTAATTTTAGAGAATATGAGAAGGAAAGGCACAAGAATAACTTTGAATGTTCTAGGGCTATGTGTGTAATAAGAGAAGAATGAAGAACTCTCTAGAAACTAGAATAATTTAATGCATTATAGAATGTTCTATTAGGCTTGGAGGGGGCTATAAATAAGATCCCCTCCCCTCATTTGTAATCACCCAAGCATTGAATCAAAGCATTCAAGTGTGAAGTATTTTTTTCTCTCTACTCTTTTTCTTAAGAGTGTTTGGTGCTCACAAGTCCAAGCGTTGTGAGGATTAGACTGATTTAGTGCTAAAGGAGAGCGCTAAAGCCGCATGGGTGACTTGGAGAAAGTTAGTCCGTGGCAGTTGGTATCAGAGACTTGGTTTGAAGGAATGAAAAAGAGTGTCCAAGAGCACGTGATGAAGTCGGAAGCCACGAATGTGAAGTCATCTCAAGGGCGAGGTCGTCGGGAGCAAAGAGATCCCGCTGCGCCCAAGCCACATGAGAGGTCCAAGGAGATCATGCATGACATTAATTCGCGCCTTGCTCGGATGGAGGAGGTAATGAATGGCATGGAGGACCAAGTAGAGGATCTCAACCAAAGGGTTGATGGACTTGAGAAAGAGGACGTCACTATCCATTCAACGATCAGATGTATGATGCTCCAACTTGAAGAGACCTTACTCGGTCATATGGCTAAGTTGCAGAAGGATTTGGTGGAGAAGCTTCAAGATTTGCGAATTGCCTATGAGGAGGAGATGAGCGACATGCGTGCTAGCTTGGAAGAGATGCGTGGAAACATTTCGTTGTGCAATAGAGCACTAACGACATCCACAAGCCACCCACTTTCGAAGCCAAGAGGATTGAACTTCCAAAACCTATGAGTTTTGGAGGGGTTCGCAACGCGAAGGAAGTAGACAACTTCTTGTGGGGACTAGAGCAATACTTTGGAGCAATAGGGATTGTCGATGAAGATGCAAAATTACAATTTGCCTCTCTCTATCTATCGGACATCGTTATGCCTTGGGGGAGAAGAAGAAAATGAGATGTACAGAAATGTTTGTGCTCCATGTCCACTTTCAATGACTTCAAGAGAGAACTAAAGAGGCAGTTCTATTCTAAGAATGCCGACGAGCCCGGCTGCGAAGGCTTAAGCAAAAATGTTCGATTCAAGACTACATTAAGGAGTTTACAAGCCTAGTTCTTGAAATCCCAAATATGTCAAACAAGGATGCTCCCTTCAACTTCATGAATAGACTCCAATATTGGGCAAATATCGAGCTTAGGAGACGAAGAGTGCAGGATCTTGCCACTCATCGCGGTTGCTGAAAGCTTGGTTGATTATTCAAAGGAGTTTAGAAAGCTTGAGATAAGAAGAGTTGCAATGTCAAAAGTGGGGATGACAAGGGAAAAAACAAGGGGAAGACTAACAAGACATATCAAAACCGTTGCTTTCTTTGTGAAGGACCTCATTGGGCAAGGGATTACCCTCAGAAGAAGGCCCTCAACTCTCTCCTTGCAAGCCATAAGAAGGAAGAAGAAAGTGATAGAGAAAATGACATGGAGGCACATGTGGGATCTCTTCAACTGCTGAACGGGATGCAAGCTCCTACAAAACCCCAAGGGAAGGGGTTACTCTTTGAGGAGATGGCAACAGGAGGGAAGACCACCAGGGCAATAGTGGATATGGGTGCTTCCCACAACTTCATCTCCAGCCGGGAAGCAAAGATGTTGGGGTTGCGGATGACTAAAGGAGGGAGCTCCATTAAAGTCATCAACTTAGCAGAGATGTTAATCAACGGAGTGGCTAATGGAGTAAAGACCAACATTGGGGCATGGTCAGGTACTCTAGACTTCTCTGTCGTTCCTTTGGATGACTACAAAGTTGTCCTAGGAATGGATTTCCTGGAGCAAGCAAAAGCATTCCCAATGTCATTCGTCAATAGCTTGTGCATCACGGAAGGGAGTCAAGCTTGCTCAGTACCGATGATAAAATTAAGCAAGCAAGGATCTAAAATGCTATTGGCAATCCAGCTCAAGAATGACATTGCACGAGACAAGGGGGACAACTTGACTATTTTTCATGATATCAATGAGAAAGAAAAGACCCAAGGAGTTGGGATGCCAAGGAGAGTGGTGGAGGTTCCTAATACACCACCGCTAAGAAAGAAGAAAAATGGCTTAACAAGGTTGGAGACAAGTGCTATGCCAACAGCCAGGAAGAATTGTTGTAGGACACGCCTCTCCCATAACACCAAGGAGAAACCAAAGTTTGCCAAGTCGAGGCAAAACCGATGAGACGATTTCGAAGGTGCAGGGGAAGCCGCAATGAGGGCATTGTGAGTTTAAGTGGGGGAGCGTGTCACGTCACGCTCCGCCACATTCTGAAATTTGCAAGGCAAACTTGGGAAGAAAGATTCGAGAGAATACCAGATTGTGGATAGTCATCCAAGAGATTCTAGAAGATTCTACCCAATTCTAGAGAATATGAGAAGGCTCAAGAATAACCTAGAATGTTCTAGGGCTACGTATGTAAAAAGAGAGGAATGTAAAACTCTCTAGAAACAAGAATAATTTAATGTATTCTAGAATGTTCCATTAGGCTTGGAGGGGGCTATAAATAGGAGTCCCGCTATAAATATGAGCAAATATGAGCCCCTCCCCTCATTTGTAATCACCCGAGCATTGAATCAAAGCTTTCAAGAGTATTCAAGTGTGAAGTGTTATTTTCTCTCTACTCTTCTTTTTAAGAGTGTTTGGTGCTCACAAGTCCAAGCGTTGTGAGGATTATGTTGATTTAGTGCTAAAAGAAAGCATTAAAGCCACACGGGTGACTTGGAGAAAGTTAGTCCGTGACACTGGCTATCTACATGAATCACTAAGCATTGTCACCACTGCTAACATTAAAAGTTATCTCCCAGGAATTTATAGACATCAATAAGAATGCACTAGAGCGCGGTGTGAAATCTTATCTAGAGCACTAAAAATAACACCTCATGTTTATAGGGAATTTCATAGCAAAAAATGCTCAATATTTCACAGTATATATATGGTCCATCAAAAAATAGCATGAATCACAATTGAACTACAACCTAACAAAGAATTGAACCTCACCAATGGGATGGGTTTCCGAGGAATCGGCTTGATATGAACATCTCCTTCATCAACTTCACCATCAGACACAATCTCCTCATCATCATCCTCACTATGACAATCATCAATTACCGGTTCAGTGGTTCCAGACACCAGATCCTTGGCAATATACCCATTCTCGGTGAGAATTCTTATAACTTTCTCTTCCAGAACAGAAAGAGCCTTTCTTCTTGGTATTTTTCTACTTATTTGTAAAGCTTCCACTAGTTCATAACCTGAAATATCCTGCATTGATAAGATATATTAAATGAAATATTAGAACGAACATGAAAATGACCATCATTTTCCTTGATCTCCTCCCCCAACTTCTTCTCAAGGAAAGATGATAACGACATTCAGAAATGAATGCATAATTATAAATAATGTTTACATACATACCACTTAATTCCTATGTACTTGCATATCTAACACCTAAACTCTACCTATGCAAGAAAAGGTGTATTTCAGTTTTAAAAGTAAAAATAGTGGTATTTTTTATGTGATATGAAAGATTTGAGAGATATAAATGTAATAATTAAATTTTAGGTGTTAGATATATAAATACATAATAATTGGGTGGTATGTATGTAAATGCCCCAATTCTAAACTCATATGTGTAGACGCAGTGATTAAGAATTCAAAGATTATAACATTAACTCAACCAAGTCATGCTTAAAGGCTAAAGATTAATGTAACAGCATACCAAACATCTTGAAAAGAAAGTCACCATAAATTAAGGCATCATTGAATTAACTTTTTCTTTTAAAAAATCACTCGATGCTTGAGCACTTTTAACATTGTTAATTACTTAGAATAAAAATAAACATGAAATTTCCACAATGAAAAAAATTTTAAATCTGAAAAGCTTTGTCATCAATATTAAGAGGAACCATTTTTTCCAGTGCTAACATGCCGGAACAGAATGCTTCTATTTTGCAGGTCTAAATGAATCATTAAATTCTAAAATATTTCCATTTTACCCAAGGAAAGGCATAGAACATTTTCATACTTCAACATGTCTATAAAGCTCATCCGGTGGTAATTTAATTGCATCGACCATTTTTAGCTTTCCACATTTCTTGACTAAAGTTTCAACTTCCCTGCAAATCTCACGAACTGCAGCCTACACATTAAAAAGTGAAGTTACTGAAAGATAATGCAATCACAAACCAAGCTTCATCTCAAATTAAGAATATGTCGCACCACAATAAAACGTACGAAACCATGCAATCTGAGTGTAATAAAGAAAAGAGAGGACTTTTCAGATACAAGCAGGAAAAAAACCCATTCAGTCAAAACAAACATACAAATTAATTTAAAAATCAAATAGATGGAAATCATAAAATTCCTAACAAAAGAGAACTGCGATTTACAAAAAAAAAAAAAAAAAAAAAAAAAAAAAAAAAAAGACATAAAAATTAGGAGAAAAAAGATTCATTAATCCCCAGCTGAAAATAATATAAAGAGAATAAATAGTGAATTTATCCATATGCTTTAGCAACAGAAAACCCACACAAAAAATATTGACTTTATCCATAAATGAAACAGAATGATGAAAGAAATAGGGCAGTCAACAAAACCGGTTGCATTTTAAATGATAAATTACAAAGTAAAACCACAAAAAGCACATTTAACAGAAAATTAGCATACATGCCCAATTTCCATAGCTTGAAGCAACTTCTCCTCGGCAAGAAAGTTGCAAAACCCCTGAAAAAAAATTGAAATTAAGCTCATTTAAGTAGAACTATTTGAATATGCAAGAAAAGATACAAGACTAAAATATTGAGAAAATTTTTATATTCTTGTAATTTATAAAAATGATGATTTGAAGACTGAGAGTCCGTTTGGGGCCACTTATTTTCCACTTCGCAGCCCCAAATCACGAATATTCTCTTTTTTTTTTTTGTTTGAGAGCGGTGTTGGCGGCCGCCCGCCGCTAAATTAGGCGGAACGCGGGCCGCGGGATTGACCCCGCGGCCTCGCGTTCTGATCTAATAATGCCGTTGTTGCCCCGGCTCCCCAGCATCTCGCGAACTCTTCTCCCCTGGCATATGGCGAAGCCGTGCTCGCAGCCTTGCCACCTCCGATCGCAAGGGTGCTTTATCTGTTCGGGGGTGCTTGCAAGGGTGAGTCGAGGAGCTTCATCCTCCTTCATCGCACCGTCTTCTACAGTTTTCTTCCCCCTCCCATTGTCCAAACAGTAAGAAACCTTCTCCTTTATCTGATCATTAATGCAAGGGTTTTATTTGATCAAACATCAAGACCTGCAATTTCCTGAGTTTCCTGTTCTTTGGCTATAACTTTCTTATTGCTTTTAAACTTTTTTGTGGTTATTAACTTTTCACTATGTATCTTTTAAAGAATTATAGCTGTAAGCTGTCCGAATTCTTTTAGATGAAAAAAGTCTATAATATTTATGACAGCTACAAAAACTTTGCTTTTCAAAAATGGTACCAAACAAATTTTGCTACGAACCACATTCATCACAAATGGTGTCCACAAAGCCTCAAACAAGTATTCAACAATTTGATTAATGGTTCCAAACTAGATAGCTTACACAAAATTGATATCAGGCCTATAATCATTCGGATAGCAAGCCAACACGATCAATTCAAAGAGGCATATCACTTTCATCGACCAGAACAATCCAAAATATGCTAGAACTATTAGTTTTGCTTTAGAAGCCGTGGACAGATCAGTTGACTAATAGAATGAAAACAGAGTTTCGGATGAGCCTTTAGACAAATTTTCAAAGCTCAATTATCTGGAGGAGAAAAAATTTGGTGGGTAACTATGAAATGATTCAACCTTTAATAGAATGAAATGATACATTGATACGTTCTGATTTCTGAACTCATGTACAAATTCAATGTATTCGGCCTTGCTAGCATAACCATGCATGATTTCCTCTTATTATTTTTAGCTTCTTTTGTAAGACAAGTAATCTCTAAAATCTAACACATATTTTTTCTCATAATTAGTTATTTGATGAGTCCCTCATTTGTTCCTTCTCATAGAGCTATATTGTAAGATGCGAAGTATTTGTTACATTTTATATAAACTCCATCGGATGCGTCGACGGAGATCATGTCATTCGCCAATCACGGTCCTCGTGTTTTAATTTGGCTATGGTTTTCATGAATTGTGATTTTTTCCTTTTTTTTTCACTTTCGGTATTCACTGTTAAATTAGTTGTGCATCTAAATTTTTGAACTGTTTATAAGTAAAATTATGCTTCAAAAGTATAAAAAATGTCATGGTCATAGTTCTGTTTTAAATTGTTTTACCAAACAGGGGTAGCATGGTTATTTTTTCCAGAAAGAGTTGTCCCACAGTTGTTTTCACATAGTTGCACCAAACAGTCAGTCAACTTCCCCGCAACAGCTTCCTGGGGTCTGCAGCTGAAAAGCTGAGAAGCTGCAACTGCGCCAAACAGAGCCTGAGCCTCACCCTAAGAATAAGGATAAGGCTTCGGGTAAATAACAACAAAAAAGATGTGAATCACTCAATATTGCCTTTGGGTTTTGAATTACACCCACTATGCGTCGCTTCTCAACCTATCTGAGTTGTGTTTAGTTTTTTGTTTTGCTTTCTACTTTTTAAAAAAAAAAAAACACTCTTATATGATTTTGTTTTCACAAGAAACATATCTTGATGGGTCCCTTTCCATGCTTTCATATTTCCAAATCATCAATGAAAATTACAGAAATCATAGTGAAAATTAGATAGAGGAGCATTTTGTCAACTAAGAATTTGGAGTTCATATATGAATAATGGTGAGGTTGTATATGATATCGGTATAATCCGAGAATGCGCAAATACAGTTATTATTGCTAGAATTCAGAAAGAAACACAAGGGTTCATAAAACTGAAAATAAAATGACACGAATAAAAAAGGGACACTTGGGCGATAGCGCAAAGAATAGACTTCAGCTGGACAGCAGGTGCAATTGATTAAAGCGGTGTTGGCAGCAAGCAAGCGATGGGAAAGAGGGGATACGACAACAGTGAGAAGGGTCCTAGCGGCAACATAGAAGGAATATGAGGGATGGCGACAACTGGAAAAACACAGATTAAATCTAGTGGCGGCAGGGACGACCAGGTGAGTCGGGCGGCAGTAGGATGAAGATGCGGGCAAGTTGGCGGGTAGTAGAGGAAGTTCTAGCTGGGCGGCAAGCAAGAAGAGCATAGGAATATGAGGCGGCAGTAAGAAAGAGGATTATGGCGCAAGCTTGACGAGATAATTACCACCTTGGAGCAAGATACAGCCAAAGCACCACCCGTCCTTGGATACAACCATAATAAGGGAGAGAAGCCTGATGGTAGCAACTCTAAAAACAAAGCAAGACAAAACTGAATTCTAAACTCAAAATCACATTTATAATAGCAAATAAACAAGAAAGGGAAAAGAATGGGGGAGACTCGGGAGACAAGTCTTACCGAAAGGAAAAAGAATCGAACGGACCAGTCCAACCTCCTGCTAGACCGGAGCTTCAGCTTTGGTTGAACCCTTGGTCGGTTCAACCCAAAAAGTACCCGCGTCAGTCTTCCAGGGTTGAGGGAGCTTCAACTTCATCCCTCGAAACATCTGCATCTTTATAATACAGGGTCAGATCCACAACATTGAACGTGGTTGAAACAATATAGTCTCTTGGCAGGTCAATCTAGCAAACATTCATTCATTCAGCTTTTGAAATATTCTAAAAGGTACATCTGCTCTGGGTTTGAGTTTTCTAAATGCTCCTATGGGGAATCTCGCTTTCTTCAGCTTGATCCATATTAGATCTCCTTCTTTAAAGATCACATTATCCTTGCCTTGTTCGCTTGTGCCTTTTTCCGTTCATTTTTCTATTTTTTTTATTTTAAAAGGAGTCGCCAGCTTGTCGATCGTCGTATACTTCTCCCATTTGAATAAATCTCCCTCCCGAACCATATAAATGATTCGAAGAGGAGAGGAATCGAATAAAAAAGGGGACATACGACAAAGTGACAAACAAGAGAAAAAGTAAAACGTGGAGAATCTACGTACGATAAACCTCGCAAGGATAGGTTAAGAATGTCCACCCAAACAAGATTGGGCGGAGACACCTTAAACCAATATCCGCGAAAGAAGTATCTACATAGACTATTCATAACCAGAGAGTCAGGTGTATGTACCCGTTCTGGGGTCAAGAGCACTCCCAAAGGAACGTGTTCCTACTGGTTAATTACATCTTGGGGGATACCCAAGAATACTCTCGATAAAAGGAGTTTCGCTTCATATTATCATAAACCTGGGGTATAGGCAATCAAAAGGAAGGTTATTCCGTGAGGGAACAGTCCTAATACTTCAAAGCTCACACTAAGCAATCGGGTAGAGAGTGAGTCTCTCACATCCCAAATGGGTAGTGGCTAACCAGCACATGGGGCCCACGAAATAACCTAAATCATCTTAACGGGGATCTCCCAACACGTCAAAGCACATCCGGGCCAAAGGGCAGAGGACAAATCGTCGTATCCCAAATGGGTGGCAGCTCATCGGCATTGGGCCGTCAAGGTGATATCAACGAGGTCAAGGAGCGACAGGGCTCAAAGGGGCTCAACAAAAAG